AAGTCCGCCTAAGAAGTATAATTCTCAGTAGGCAAACAGTGTGCGACCGTATAGTGTGAGCTGAAATAAATTACGCAGCCTAGAAGCTGAGAGTTACGATGTATTAGGTGGGCTTCTCTGAGGACTGAGATCCCTCCGAGCCCGGGAGGGCAGCCTCCCGGATCGCCCTAGGGGACGGACGGCTCCGAAGAGGCAGGGAGGGGCCAGGACATACAGGAGCTTTACAGCAAAGGCCAGGTAGTCAGAATGCTGAAAGATTACTTGTTAACTGAAGAAAACCAGGCTCTCAAGGTAGAGAATTTAACACTATTCCTTGGGGGGGGAGCAGCCATTGGGCTCATTGTCTTCATTCCTTTGGCAAGCACCTAGTTGTCTAGGGCCAGTGTCCTGTCCTTTCTTATTCTGAGTCCCCGCAGGCTGCAGAGGCCGGGCTGCCTGCCTGCCTTCACTTTGCGGAGGGTGGGGTGGCGGCTGATGACTTGATGGCTTCAGCATTCTTTGCTTACTGATAGGGTTTGCATTGTTTGTCGTTCACGACAGCACCGGGAACTACAATCACTGTCTTGTAGTAACCTATAAAGAAAAGGAATATACCTATGTTCCTGTACGACTGAAACATGATGCTGTGCACCAGAAACTGACACATTCTAAACTGACTATACTTGAATTAAAAGTAATAATTCTCAATGTTTAGGCTGTGCTTTTTTTTCAGTCCATAACCGCATGGAGTGAACAATGGAAAAGTACAAGAATTGACTCTACTTTAAAATAAAATACGAAGCTGGCGTCTCCTTCAGGTGGATAAAGAGAAGCGAGTGGGTACAGAAAACACTGCAGAAACTGGCAGGCAGCACAGAACCCAAGTGACCCCGAGGCCAAGGCTGCCACCGGGTCCTCCTGGAAGCGGCTGTCCGGGAACCACGGCGGGGGAAGCCACACCCCGCCACCCGCCCTGCTGGGTCCGCAGGCCTGCGTCCCACTGGGCCTTGGCGGCTCCCAGCGGGAGGCACCGGTCACAGAAGCCACCTCCCCCGCCCCCCATCCTCCCCTCCCCGCTCCCTACCCCCCGCCCCCAGCCCTATGCTGAAAGCTGTACGTGGGCAGGTGCAGAAGAGGACAGAGGGCGGGGAGTAACCTACCCTGCGGGAAGGTTCCTGCGGGAGCCGGGCTCACTTGGTGTCTACGTGGGAGACAGCGCCCCTCACAGTCCTCACAGAAGGAGGCTGTGGTCCTCACTTTACATGTGGAGAGACACACAGAGGAGAGACGCCCACCCAAGGCCACACAGCCAGTGAGTGGCGGAGCCTTGCCCTCCAGAGCTCGCACCTCTAACTACTCTCTGAGACCCTACACCCCGCGTCGCTGGGGTCGCATTGCTGACACAGGGAAATGAATGCGGGCAAGAGGAGGGCCGTGCCCCAGGTCTCGCTGAGCCCCTGGAATGCACCCAACCAAGAGTGGGTCCTTGGCTTCATGCGGGAAAGAATTCAAGAGCGAGCCACAGCTGACTAAAGGTAGATTTTATTCAGATACACACTCTGCAGACAGAGTGTGGCTGTTTCAAAAGAGGAAAGGGTGAGAGGCCATGAGGTGCAGGGGTGGGTGCTCAGCAGATACACAGTCCGTCCCGCTCAGAAGGGAGAGCCGGGTGGCTGGGTTTTATGGGCTCGGGGGCTTCATATGCCAACACGAGGGAAGGTTATTCCAACGACTTTGGGGAAGGGGCTGGGATTCCCAGGAACTGAGCCCCTGCCCACTTTTGGACCTTTTACAGTCAGCCTGGGACCCCTCAGGCCGCCCAGGGGTGCCGTTTACCGTGTTAATACATTACAATGAGCGTGTGATGCAGCTCAAGGTCACTGGAGGTCAAATCTCCCGCCATCTTGGGCCTCAAGGCCTGTTGGGAGTTGAATTTTCCAACACCTTGGTGTTCATTGCTGTGCCATCTCTTGAATGGCCATGCCCTGTCCTCTTCCTTCCTGTCACAACTGGACACTCCTAAGAAGCAGCTCTGTTGATACGGGTCCTGGCAGACCCAGCGCCCCCTCCGCAGACCCAGCACTGAGCCACCAGCGCCTCCAAGAGCCTGCGCAGCCCCGCTGTGTGCAAGGCCCACTCGAAGGCTGTCGGCCAGACAAGGCTGAGGCAGGCACAGCCCAGGGCCCGAGGCCACGACTGGGGAGAGGACTGAAATGCAAGGCAAAACCAGAATGGGAATCCACATTAAGAGCCCCGAGGTGGGTTGGGGGAATTAGGGGCCCGGATGCTGGGGGTCTGGGATTGGCTGCACATGTGTGTCAGGCTCCCTGCCCGCGGAGTCTGCCTTCCCTGATGTCCCCATGACCTCAGTGGCAGCAATACCATGTGGGGTGGCTTGTCCCCATGGCTGCACAGTGGGGGCCCCACGACCCCCAGGCAGCGCCCTGCAACACCGCATACCAGACCCCTGGGGGTGAGCGTGCACACCCCACACTTGCAGGGTTCACCCAACAATGTACAGTGGCCCCAGGACGGGAGGCTCACCACCAACCAGCGGGAAAGACCGTGGTGACAACCTGGACGTAGTCCTGGCAGTGTGGGGCTGGCTGCGGGGTCCTCCTGGAGTTGGGGGCCCCTATCTGAGGATGAGGCCATGTAGGGTGGCCAGACTTCATGGTGGGTCTCTTCTCAGGCAGCTCTGGTCATGAGCACCCTCAATGTCATCAACTCCCAGTCCTGGTCACCCTTCACCCCCTAGCCCTGCGTGAGCTGGGGTGTCCTCCAGCCATAAACCGCAGGAAGGACTTGGCCAGGCACTGTGCTCATCCCAGGGAGGACACACCAGACTGAGATCACAGTCTTTTCTGCTTCTGTAACATAGCTTCTGCAGGCTGGGGGCTGCACAGGTGTATTTAAGGGCTGGTGCCCTCCTCTCCCCTCTCCTTTCCTTGTCTTTCTTTGCCCCCCTCCCCGCTCGAGGGGCGCTGTTCCTCCTGCTACTTCAAGGCCCCAACAGCCACGTCTCCCTCTCGAGCTCACCTCTCGTGTTTCCCTGATGAAGGTGGCCTCCCCAGAACTGACTTTCCCCCAGACTGCAGGACTGCAATGCAACCAGGGGTGGGTGGTCTGACGGATTCTGGTCCAGTCGCTTCTGAGAATGGTGGCTCTCTGGCTAAGGTCTATATTTCACATACATACAATTGAAAATTGTGGGGCCAGGCAGATAGGACGGGTGCTCTCAGCTGGTCTTGGAGTTTCCTTTGAACATGAATCTGATCAGCGGGCAGGTGAGGGGAAGAAGCTGCCTGTCAACAGGCCAGGGCAACACTGCCCGGAGAAGCCAGCTCCCTCGGCCACCCGGACCCTCAACCCAAGCAGCCAGCAGGTCTCCCCACATGTGCCCGAACGGCCACGAGGCCACTCGTCCTCGCTGTTTGTCCTGCGGGTCCGTTGACGGGCAGAGGCCTGTGCAGTCCCGATGTCCCCTTGGTGGTCTCAGGCCAGCGGAAGTCCTTGCTCTGACACCCGTTTGGTGGTGATAACTTGGCGCCTCAGGATAAGAGGAGGAGGGGACTGTCGGAGGGAAGCCAGGGAGCAGCCTTTGGGCTGGGCTGAGAGTCCGCCCCTTCCTGCCTGAGACAGCAAAGGCAGCTGAGTCTCCACCTGCGGCCCCAGGAACATCTTGGGCCTCCCCAGCCTCTCGCTCCATCAACCCACGTGTGAGGGTTTATGACCCAAGCACAACTTTGAGACTTAGACCATGGAGGGAGAGGTCAGCCAGCAAACATGTGCGGACCACCTGGGGTGGCCACCGCTCTGGGTCCCAAAAAGAGATTACAGAGGCCCAACCCTGAGAGCACCAGCTCCAGACCAGGCGGCGGTGGACTGAGCAGGGGCCTGATGAGTCTTGACTGACTGGCTGATTGTGCGTTGATTGAATGGAAAGATGAGTGACAGAAAACAAAACAGATTTTTATTTTCCTGAGAGTATATGAAATTGTATAACGTGAAATTGGTTGGGGTTTTTTTGTTCAATTGTTTTTTAATTGAAGCACAGTCAGTTACAGTGCGTCAGTTTCTGGTGTCCCGCATAATGTCCCAGCCATGCATATACATATGTATATTCATTTTCATAGTCTTTTTCATTAAAGGTTATTATAAGATATTGAATACGGTTCCTTGTGCTATACAGAAGAAGTTTATGTTTTTTAATCAATTTTTATATATAGTGGTTAACTTTTGCAAATTTCAAACTATTATTAAGTTTCTAATAGTACAGGTTTTAACAAATTTTAAAGCTGGCCAACACTGCCCCCTGGTGATGGGTTCACTTTAAAGTTGCCTCCTGTCCTGATGGGGAATGTTTTTGTAATCAGAATCACGTGCCTCCAAGTCACATCTCCATCAGGGGAAGTCCAGGAGCATTTCCTGAACCGGGAGGCCCTTGGAATAGTCCTTGTCTCTTCGATGAATTAATCACCGTAGATCAATTGCATTCAGTACGGCAGCCTGAACTCAGGGACAGACACTCTTAAGGAGGGGCAGGATCAAATGCATGCGGCAGAGTCGGTCAAGGTGGTGGGCCGGGCACAGGAAGTAACAGGAGTTATTTACTTAAAATCATGATAAATTGAGAAAAGACGAGGCCTGTGTGTCGGAGTCCATTTGGGACATTTTAACAAAGCACCACCAACTTAAACACAGAAAACATGGCTCACGGGACAATTCTGTCACTGAAGGGGTTTCAAAGGGGAGACTGCCGAGGCCAGTGACTCAGCAGGTGGGTTGGAAGGAGGAAGGCAGAAAAAGAGAAATTCCACTGCACAGACGTGTTCAAGCTGTGCCTTTGGTTGAGTGTGGCTGCGGGTCAGGCCAGTGCACAGCCACGAGCCTGCCAGCAGGTGGCACCAGCCTGTTCCTTGTGATGATTTATTTATATGGGTCTTTTTTTTCTTTTTTCTTTTTGAAATTTATTTGAGGGAAGGTAATTATGGTTTTTAAAATGTATTTTTTAGTGCAGGTACTGGAGATTGATCTCAGGACCTCGTGCAGGCTAAGCACGCGCTCCACCGCTGAGCTGCATCCTCCCCCTGACCTGTTAATTTTGGTGGAAAGCCAGGCTTGGATGAATTTTGGGGAAGTGAGGAGGGTCCAGAAAAGTCAGAATGATGCCTTGGGTACCTACAGTCACCCCAATGACAACCTGTGTGGAGGCACATACTTCGGACCCTTAAGGGCAAGAGCGCTCCTGTAAGAGCTGCAGGACCTCGACCCAGGTCACGATGCAGTGCTGCCTCCGTCAGTGGGTACCAGACGTGGGAAAGCACACGCCACACTTGGGAGAGCAGCGCTCCTGTGCTAAGCTTGCTGAGCCGTTTGCGTCACCGGGAGCCCTGCACTGGAAAGTCAGTGAACAGGGACCCTCGGTGGTGGCCGGGACTCGCACCCTCCTCCGGGCAGACACAGCTGCGTGACAACATCCCCCCAGGACCCGCCTTCCGCAGGATTAGAGGGTGAGGCTGAAGGTGATCGTGACCCCAAATGGTGCTGCCTGATAAGATCCTGTAAATAGGGCCCAGATGAGCAGAAGTTAAAATTGGAGAATGGAGAATTTCGCCACAGTTCTCTGAGAACAGGCCTGCCTGGCCCTGAGACAGGAGGGAAGAGGGAAGGGCACTGCCATTCAAGAAATAACACAGCAGTTAGCACCAAGATGGCGTAAAACTCAATTCCCACCAGGCCTGAGGCCCAGGACGGTGGGAGACTTGCCTTCCAGCGGCCTCAATCGGCGCCCTGTGCTCCCTGTAGTGTGCTAACGCGGTAAGCGGTACCCCACAGGCGCCGTGGCAGTTCCCAGGCTGACCACGAGGGGTCAGAGGTGCGCAGTGGCCCACCGGGAACCCCAGCCCCTGCCCACAGTGGTTGGAATCACCCTCCCATTTGTTGGCGTATGAAACAGCCGAGCCCACAGCGACCAAGCGCCCCGCACCTCACGGCCGCGCTCCCTTCTGAGCGAGGCGCCCGCGCTGGGCCTGTGGCCTGTGTGTCTGCTGAGCGCCCACCCCCCGCCTCAGGCCTCTCACTCCCTCGTCCTCTGGAACAGCCTGCACTCTGTGGAGCGTGTATCGCTCTGAACGAATCTATCTTCACTCCGCCGTGGCTTCTCTTGCTCTTGAATTTTTTCCTGTGCGAAGCCAACGACCCACACTGAGGACTCAACTAAGACCTGGGACACGGCCCTCCTCTCGCTCGCATTCTATTTCCTGGATCAGCGCTGCATCCAGGAAAAGTCCTTGGTCCCCTCCCAGGATTCTGAAACCTTGCAGCCCCTATTCAGCTTCCAAAGTGAGGCCCTAAGAACGCCCAAAGCAATATCAGATCAATGGCCCGGGTTCACTGGCTGCTGCACACCCAGCAGGAGCCCACAGGAGCTGGGCACAGGGAAAGCAGAGCAGAGGGAAGGCAGGGCCGTCGGCCTTCTCAGCGCTTCGCCAGCTCCTGGGACACCAGCTGCAAGAGCCTGTGACGCCTGGGAGGGTGGAAAGTGGTTTTCTGCCCTGGACGGAGAGGGTTCTTCCCCAAACCCTGAGTCCTGCCAGCCCGTCTGGCCTACTAGGACTTGCGAAGCCATTAGCCTGCCTGCTTACCTCCCACTCAGGTTCCTTCCAACAGTAAGTTTCCTTTATTTTAAAACCAAATAGTCATATGTCCCCGGTAGAAACTCAAGTGACGCAGGAGGACACAGCGGACAACGGAGCCCCTATCCTCTGGTCCCCTCCCCAGCCTTTCTGCTCCGAGTCAACCTTGCAAGATATAGGTATGTATTAAAAGCTTTTCAGCATCTATTCAGATAAGCTTTTTTGGTTTGTTTGGGCTTTAAAAAGGTGTGTAAATCCCTTCCTTTCACAGGATTAAACTGTCTTTGCGTGCCTGGGGAGACCTTCCATGCATCAGCGGCATTTTCAGTTCAGTCATCCCTGCTTATCCCCAGGTTCCCTTTCCCTGGTTTCAGCTACCTGAGGTCCACCTCAGTCTGAAAATATTAAGTGGGAAGTTCCAGAAATAAGCCATTCCTAAGTTTTAAGTCTCGTGCTGCTCTGAGTCACGTGATAAAGTCCTGAGCCACCCACTCTGTCCCCTGGGATCCCCAGCCGTGCACACCATGTGCTCCCAACATCCAGCTGTCAGCATCCTCAGGGCCCCGCAGTCCAGGACCACCTGGAGCACATGGTCCTCCCTCTGACCTCGTCACACACGCATTTTATCATCTCACCTCGTCCCAAGCGGAAGGGTGAGTAGCCTGCAGTCAGATGTTTTGAGAGAGAGGGGCTGCACTCACATAACCTTTATTACAGGGTTTTCTTGTCTTTGTCCTATGTCATTAATTATCGTTAATCTCTTACTGTGCCTCAAGAATTCACACGTGACTCCACCTAGATTCAGAGCTATTTTCTAGTATAACTGGCTTTGACTTTCTTAATTATTGCTCTTTCATATTTCATGCCTACTCTGGAGTCAATGTTAGTAACATGTACTTCTCCAGAAAACGTGTCCATTTGTGGGAGAGTTTAAAAACACGTCAATGTGCATCTTGGCTGTGACAAGTATGTTCTCATACATTCACATGGTTTTTATCGCCGGCTCTGGGCCCTCTCCCTCTCACCTCGTCCTGTCTTCTCCATATAATATTGCCTAGAAACTTGTCCACTGTTTGTTTATTTTTCATGCCAGTTAAGTTTGTTTTTTTCTGTCTCCTGACACTGTTCTTTTACTGAGTAATAGTCAGTTTACAAAAAATACGGAACGCTTCGCGAATCTGCGTGTCATCTCTGCGCAGGGGCCATGCTGATCTCTGTGTCGTTCCAGTTTCAGCACACGTGCTGCCAAAGCGAGCAGTTTAGTTTCTTTATTTCATTTTTATTCTTTTTTGGGGGGAGGGACAGTAATTAAGTTTATGTATTTCCTTTTTAATGGAGGTACTGGGGATTGAGCCCAGGACCTCGTGCATGCTAAGTACATGCTCTACCACTTGAGCTGTACCCTCCCCCCTTCATTTTTATTCTGCTTTACAAATTTTTTTTATTTCTGCTTGTATCCTCTTTTTTGGGTTTCCTTGGGAGCTTTTCACTTGGCAAAATTTCATGAACATACTTCCACATAAACATGCCCTGTTATTACCTTGTTTAGTGGCTGCGCGGTATTTTATTTTCGATTGTGATGTATATAAGTTGCACAGGTTACTGGCTCCTGCCCCAAATCTGAACCCCAGAGAAACTGGGGAGAGAGATGGAGAAGACGCTTCCTGACCCTTCCCCAGCACCTGCTCTCCTGCGCCAGCCGCGGACCCCAGCCGCGATCGCTACACACGAGAACAAATGAAAAAAGGCAGGACGTTGTTCCTGTGGCTGCAGGAAGGATGGGTGGCGTTTAATTTTCACAACCGTGTGCAGAGGGGCCGCAGCCTGGGTGTGAGGTTCTTCAGATGTGAGGTTTCAGGGACAAGGAGGTGGGGAGCCCCTGGCGGGGGCAGCAGGAAGAGAGCTGCAGGCAGGACAGACAGCGCCTGAGACTCAAGCACATCACACAACGTTTATTTTTAAACAATAAATAAGCGGCCAAGGAAATACAGGAAAGGAAGCATTCATGAAATCAAGTCACTAAAGTGCTCTCAGACATAAACTTTAAATAGCCAAGAAGCCTGGTCTGACCTTAAAACTCTGCTCATAAACATTCAGCGGTTGTTGGGATGTGGTCGTGTGCTGTTTCAGCAGGGAAGGGCGAGGCTTTCTTTGTCAAAGTTCCGAGGCTCACAGACCCCATCAAATGACACTCGGGAGGATACAAAGTCATTGCCTAACAGGAAAACGGAAATGTCCAAAGCCAAGTTCAAGGTGAAGATCCTAGAATTCCTTCATATGAGGTCTGCAAGAGGTCTTCACTATTTATGAAGACATATGATTCTCTGTAGGTTGAATATTTTTGTATTTAATATTCTTCGATCAGAGTAAGGATGTCGGACGTAACCTGATAATCTACACAGTATATCCCGTGATGTCTGGCAGTGAAAACGGTTTCTGGACTTCAGATCTTCCTTCCTCAAGTCCCAGATGAGAATAAAAGTTTTACTCCAAATTAACTGGTTCAAGTGCCTTTAAGGAGCGCCTTCCATTCTAGAATAAAGTTGAGTTTTCACCCATTTGTCTCCTTTAAGCAAGTGGCTTTGCAGCTCATCCCAACAGCGTAAGAAGAAACCCAGCTGGGAGTATTTGTCTTTTGGACAAAACGGGTGAGGCAGGTGCCCGTGCCCAGCCTCTGAGGGGGGCCTGTGGCCTCGCTAGGGCCCCTTCTTCCCCAGCTGGAGCCCCTCTGGCCCCTCGGAGTCTGAACATCCTTGGCCACTGGCCCCCTGCTGTGCTTTCTTGGTCTCCTGCCGGGCGGAGCTGGACAGGTCGATGGCCACGTCTTGCAGGCCACTCTCAGGGCTGCCTCCCTCCGAGCCCCTCTGGGGTCCTGCCTGACCCAGGCCAGAACCTTCCTTGAGACAGTCAGCGTGGTCACAGCCCCATGGTCCTGCCAGCTTTTCTTCACCTTCTGCTTTCCTTTTCATCCCTGTGGATTTTTTATACATCCCTTGCAAAAAAAAAAAGGAAAATAAATAACACGTTACCTCTAAATCTAGCAATTAAGTAAACTTCTTCACGTCATTGTTCTCGAAATCCCATTAGCATTTCCCTTGTTGTTGCCCGTCTCCAGCGCCGCCAGGGGAGTCTCCTAGGTAACTCTCCACACTAGGGGTTGTAGACGGGTGTCTGCCCACTGGGCACGGCCAGGAAAAGTGCCTTGTTTGTATGACATGGTGATTTCTGAAATTTTATTTTAAAATGTGTTGACAATGGTTTAAAATCAGGAGATTTACATCAAAATTCAGACTTGCAGCTTCTCTCAAAAAGTCAAATGTCCAGCCACACTAGGCCCACCTTCTTGTCAGGCCACGGACCTGCGGATGCAGTGAGCACCACATCCACCTGCTCTGTAAGTTCAGAGGGGTGGGCTCGGGTACCCGCCCCACACTCCCCCAGAGGTTCTCCAATCCTTGACAGCAAAGACCGTATTTATGACTGGCATCTCCAGTCCCAGCCTAGTGTCCGGTGGGTAGGGGTCAAAAAATGTCTGCTAAGCAAACCCCTCCTCCTCCTCAGCCCAAAATGCCCCCAGCTCCCTGGTCTCTGATCTCCCACTCTGCCCAGGTGCCTTCCGTCTCACTCCTCCAAGCCCGTGGTCTCTGGGAACAGCCAACAGACCGTCCGGGTGCCCAGCGCCCGAGCTCAGGCCGCGCCAGTGTAAGCGGGGTTAACTGTCCCCAGGGCCGCTGCCCGCACCCCCTGCCTCCTACCGCCGAGCTCTGCGCTCTGCCAGCCGTCAGCATCGGGAAAACACATTTCACATCGCTCAGCTCACAAACCGGGGCGGCTGGGCCTCTCCGCACAGTCGACACAGTTCCGACGGAAAACAAGCCAGCTGGGCAGAGTCCAAGCCTCGTGCTTAACTGAAGAGCGGGTGTGACGTCCTGGGCCTGCAGCTAGGAC